AACCTCAGAAAATAAAAAAAATTAAAAGAACAAATTTATGACATAAGTACAAATATTTAATCCACATCATGCAAGTCTAATACATTAACCAAACATAAGACAATCTGAGGAATGTTTATACAAACTCAAGGAATTTTAGTGGTTGTGTGTGTGAGTAGCAACCCAAAAACTGAGGGGTACTGTGAGTTAGATTAAAAGATGTACACATATCTAAAAAGATTGGAAATAAAACCAAAATAAAAAAGAACATAAAATATTTATGTAGGTGATCTCAAATAATTAAAACATTATGAGTTGTTGCTGCTGCCTTTCCTGAAGTTGAAGGGATTTACTGATATACCTGAATTCAGTCAATGTGAGAGCAACCTGGGAGTTTTCAACAGAGTTGCAGGTGTTGGAAGACTTGATGTTCTTTCTTCTGCAAAATAATTCTTTCCAAAGAACAGGAGACAGGTAGCTTTCGGGGAAAAATAATGCATGCCTGAGGTGAGTTGCCAGATCCCATACAACTCATTCACACTTTGCTGAGAACATGCCCTTCTCCAAGAAAGTTCACACTTAGTTTCAACCTACAAGATATCAAAACATGAAATAAGCTTTGCAACAAAGATTGAAAAGTATTTATGGAGGAACAAGCCCACCAAACTTATGATTGGGTACTTAAGTTGACAGTAGTAAATCTTGATGAGTATCATACAAGAAACTATAAGCATATTTAAATTTGCTTTCAAAACCTTGAGCAACCTTTTGATATTTGAAGATGCTGGCTAGGTAAAGATCTTATCATTCATCACTTACCTTTACAAATAAAGGAGAAACTTTTTGATAATTTTTGCCCCCTCAAACACATTGCTAATCATAATCTGTATGCATTTTCACACAAAGAACTGAAAAGTTCACAAAATCTTGAAACTAGGAGCTGCAATAAGTATGGAAATGAGACAATTAGTCGATGAGAAATTGGTCAAAGCTCTAAGTCAAATAATTAGAAAACCAAAAACATCTTCTTCTCAGAACAATTAAGTGGTAATTTTCATGCAAAGCTGCTCCCAGATTTATTTTAAGCAACAGAGGAAACACCTGGACAAAGTTTGTACTGAGGACGAGTTCCATCCTTGAACAATCATGTTACTAGAGGAACTTCCAATCTCCTGTATAAGTGCCCTGCCTATAACCCAGATTAGCACTCTGATTAATATGGTACAAAGAAATCCATGGATATGCTCCTTCTTCCTATTGTCTAATCCATAGAAATAATTCATAAATGAAAGGAAGGAAACATGCACCAGTTTGTTCCGTACAAGTGTAGATTGATGCTTTTGAGCAGACCACTCATCTGGTTCATTTCCAAGCACTATAGGGAAACTGGTTGGTAAGGCTTAAAGCTACTGCATCAACCTTGGAATTATTGCAAGTATAAATCCTTTTGATAGTATGCAACACAGGGCATTGCCAAGGAAAAGTAACTATTGAACATTAGTGCCAAGGTTCCAAGCCTCCAATACTGATCTCCTTGTCATTTATTTTGAGCCAGGCTTTTGGAATGGATGAGTAGACAAGTTAAAAGTTTGAAACAATCCAGTGTAGTTGGAAAGCTCAAACAATTTCTACAAAGTATTATGCATTAGCGTTCTGCCAGTGGCCAATTCAAAACTGCTACTTAAAAACCAAGTCTCAAAGTTCTTAGAAGCACCTCCAAACTGTCAAGTGTAGCGCTTGACCATCAGGCAACAAGTTCCAGCTTCCATCCTTCTCAAAGTCAATTCCAGTGAATCAGACTGCTTTGAGATAAATCTCGAGCTCACAAAAAAATAAAAAAATCCTGAGCAGCAACCTGAACACCAGCATATTTATAAATTAGAACAGTATCACTGTGATTAAAAAGTGCAAATAAAAAATCATCATTTGATATATTGAAATTAATATGGTGGTGGTGATGATGGCAGCCAGCAGAATCAACTGCCAAATAGTCTTCAAATAAAAGTGAGCAACTTCACTTTATGTTCCAAAATGCAACAGGAATGGCATCAAAGATAGATATTGGAAAACATTAAGATTTTAGCAGAGACCCATTCTTTCCTGTGCATGTCTTGTTTCCTGACTATCTAACCCTCCTCAGAGCTTGCACATCCCTTTCTAATCGGATTAGTACAGAGAAGGAATCTCAATGTATACTATTAGTCCTGCATGACAAGCATTCTTGTTCAGCTTGAATTGGAAAATCTAGCAATAATGGGAAGAAACATCTTTTTACTGGTATCAATGATTATGTTTACCAGAAACACTAAGACAACAAAGGACACAACACAGCAAAGAAAAAAGAAAACAACATATGAAAATATAATAAAAATGAATAAGGGAAAGATCTTCTCGTAGTCCTCCTAAAAACTACAGATGGGTAAGCTGACAAAAAAAAAGAAAAGAAAAAAAGAAAGAGGCCACCACATATTCTACAAAACCTGCAGTGGTTTCCGCTATGTGCAGTATTGTTGCGTTCTTTCTATAGTGGAGATGCTCCTGAAAAATTGCTTAGAGAACGTGTCCGTTGCCTAAGCTACATCACATGCAATTTGTTCTCACCCAAGCTGGCTCCTGTTAATGAATGCTTATTCAGTGTCTATATCTATTTTAGCATCCTATCAAAGCAGAAGATAAGAAGAGGAAATGCACATGCAAACATCAAGATCATTCCAAACTACAGAGCCAACTCCAGGAAATCTGCATCAAAGTTCAATCCTTCATGTTTAGATCACTTATATTCAAATTATGCAAATTTGCCAATTATTAGTTTATTCTCCAATGCTATCATTTCAATACTTTCGTCTATCCCCGGGTAAGAAAGAACTCCTCCCCAGGTAAGAATTACTATTCCCCGAGTTGTCATCATCATTGTCATGATAAATTGTAATTCTTGAACAATGAACGTCGAGTAAGTATGAATACCTGGAGGAAGTTGTATCTTTGTAGGTGTTACCATTAATTTGACTATGACCAATATTCAGTTTTTTTAATTTGTCATAGTTCCTACTGGAAAACATTACTTTTCCACCGAAAAACAAGATCTCCTTCTTCAAAGATTTTTCATACGATGATGACATTTTTTCTCGATGATAGTTATCTTCCCTGGTTTTACAGGTAAACGAAGGGTGTAAATCTGTCACCAATATAACAATAGGAGACAAATGTTCAGGAGATAAATCAGCAAGCTGCAAGTTTATAATTAACCCTCTATCCTCAGATGAAGTTCCCAACTTAAAAAGCAAGCCATTGTACATTTGTAACAACCTTCCATTAAAATGAAATGTCCATCATTTAGCTTAAACACACTATTATCAAAAAGTTAAGGTGACGAGAAGGCTAAAATGAAATGTCCATCAGTTAGCTTAAACACACTATTATCAAAAAGTTAAGGTGACGAGAAGGATGACGATGACGACGACAAGAATAAAAAGAAAGAAATAAAGAAGGAAAGAAAGAGAGACAAAGAATATTAGTTTGGCTCACAAGTCAAAGGATCTGAAAGTTACAGATTTCATGCATCAATGGTGAAACTGACAGATTTTCTTTTTAAGTAATGGAAGGGATAATTAACCCATCGTGAAGGTGGCCGAATATTAGTTTGGCTCATAAGTCAAAGGATCTGAAAAACAGATTTAAAAGACCAAAAAAAACAGCAAGAACCTAAGAATTTTGCACAAATGCTAAAGCTATTAGCAATTCTTATTGCAGCATAAAGTAATATTCCTTTTCTTTCCGTTATTCCAGAGTGATATTCTAACAGAGAACATAATATGAAACAATTCTATCAAGATGTAAAAACAGACAAATGGGTTAATGAAAAAGAACATGGAGGAAATATGGGTCTTTTTGAATAAATTCATAAAAAATAATAGAATATTGACAAAAACATTCAAAAGAACCAAGTAATGGAAAAGAAAAGAAACCAACCATCATGAATTCTAAGCAATCAACTTTAACAGGAAATGCGCCAGAACAGTGACTTGACACAAGTGAAAATGGTTACAAGGGCTATAATCTCCCAAAAGGGGCAGTGCAGTACATAAGGCTCCTGCTAGTGTGAGGTCTAGGGATGGTCAACCTATATGTCTTACATTTACAATAAGACATGCCGTTTCCCGATACCACCCTCACAAGCCCTCAATCACTCTTCCTCTTTTTAAGGCCTAATTTATATTCACTAATAAAGATACGGTAAGGGGACTCAATCCCTTGAGAAAACGACCAGCAGTAGTTGTACAGAAGCACAAGAAGCAACGTCACACTCGGGCATCAATGTGGCACCACATCATGAGACAAGTACCAGGGCGATGGATAATTAAAGCGCAAATTTAACTCGACTCTGCCTCCCTCTCTCTCCTCCCACCACGGAGGATTCCCTGCCTCCAAACACACCAAACTGCAAGAAACTGTAACATCCTAGCCACTCTAACGGAAAATGAAGCATCATTTGGTAATATTAAGTGGACTTGAGGAACAAAAGTGTGAGACGACAAAAGAGATGAGGATAAAAGAAAAACGAAAAAGAAAAAGTCCTTCCCTTTTCCAATGCAGTTCACATTTCCCGCATCAATAAAAGAAGATTTGGATGGACTTAAACTCCCATCAAAACATAAAGAAAGATTCTTTTTCATCTTTATCAATGACAACATAAAGAAAGATTCTTTTTCTTTCTTCCTTTAATCGCCAGAAGGGCACTAAGGAATGCTGGCCCTAACTTAAGAAAATGAATAAGTACCTAAGAATTGCTGGCCCTAGCTGCAGAGGAACGTCGATTTTCCAGAACAATTTCATGTAAAAATACCTAAAGTTGACAAAGATTTAGAATCAAAGGGGAAAACCACAAGTGGCAAGTGGCAACTCCAAAACCCAAACTCTACGACTTCATCGGAATTCCCCACGCACCCTCTCTCTCGACAGTCAACCTCGCCCTCATCGACTCCCGTTCACGGAATTCGATGCAATCGGCGCCCTCATCCCTCTCATTCTGCCTCCTCATGGGCACCACGATCGCCACCTCGAAGCCGATCGAGTCCCGGTGCTCGAGATTCTGGAGAGGCGATCGGAGGCTGAGCCGACGGCGCCGAAACCGAATTCCGAAAGGAGGATGGGGAGAAAGACGGGCACACGAGAAGGGAAACGGGGAGGGATCGAGATTTAAGACTGGAGGAACCCTTGGCCCTGAGGCGGCCCTCGTCTTTCCAGCTTTCCGGTGCTTCGTCTTCTCGAGCAATCCCAAGTCGGTGAGGGACACGACCGTTGACGTCGGTTTAGGGCTTATATGTACTCCACGTGGGGCTCGTGCTACGACCGGGCTCCGAAACATCGCACGGTCACGGTCTGAATCACTCACTACCATTTTATTGATGACCTGGACGATTCTGGAATCTGACACTGGCGCATCCGAGTTGACATCACCCCTGGAATATTATCGAGCGTAACACGTGCAAGTACGCGATAAGCCGGCGAGGCATATAAGATTACTAACACAAAATAAAGAGGTCGAGATCGATTTCAAGCACGCATCTCAACGTCATCTTACACGCCCAATTGCATCACACCGATGAAAACATGTCAAAGGATTCACAACAGAAATATAATATGTAAGAAGAAAAAATCAAAATTGAATACTACCGACAGCAAATGTCACGTCGTTATGACATCACTTTTCCTAAATAAATCCTAAACCATGAAATGGTCAATCCACTTTAAAGCCCACATGTAATACAAATTTATAAGAGTACTTTGAGGGTAGGGAAGTACGTTTCCACTCCTCTCCCTAAGTTTGTCTGGGCCCCGCGTGCGGGCTTGTCAGAGAGAGCCACGTCGGAGGGCGTAGGATGAGGTCGGGTCGCTGCGTACGTTTATCTGGAGTCTATGATGGTGTACCGAGGGGGTAGGTTTTCGGGGACACGGAACCCGCACTCTTCCACAAACAAGGAAGTCGAGACCGAGAAATCAAAGAGAAAGATAGGAATCGGGAGGGCTACACGTGAGCGGGGCCCGTCCATCGACAGAAGCAGCCGTCGCCCGTCACCGTCAGATCCAAGGAGAGTATCGCAAACGCCCGATCCGAAGAATAGCAGGTGGAGACGAGAGAAGGGTCGGCGGCCGCAGTAGCGAGCGAATCCCGCGCATCGGTTCCTCGGTGGCCATTGTTGCCTCTTGGGGGGGAGGAGCGGCCGCGCCGAGATCAGGGGACGGCGGGGGACGGAGGAACCGAGACGCGATGGATCTGCTCCCCGCGGAGGGTCCCTCGTCGATGGGGGCCCGGCGGCAGGGGTTCCGCTCGCTGAAGCTGGCCACCGTCGCCATGGACGAGCCCCTCGCCGAGAAGCCCGTCGGCGTCGACTACGGCGTCCTCGACAACGGCCTTACCTACTATGTCCGCTGCAACCCCAAGCCCCGAATGCGCGCCGCCCTCGCCCTTGCCGTCAAGGTCGGGTGAGTCCGATCCCGACCCGGTTCTTCTTGAGTGATTGATTGATGATGCCTCCACGTTCAAAATCGCGATCGTTCCACGTATGCTTTCTATTTTTTCGCATCTACTTAAGAAATTAGCCACCGTTCTTGTCTTCTTGTGCCAATGGGAAGTGAATCTCGTAGAATTTCTGGTGAGACGAAACCAAAAGCAGGTAGACACTGTTTTATTGAGCATATGGTGGGGAATGCCTATGTGTGTAATTTCTTGTGCTTGCTGGAACAAAATATTCGATCCTGGTGATTTATATTTTTTGATATTTTTCTTTCAATTTCATTTTTTAAACATTTCTTGCTGGATATATTGAAATTTTTGTTCTTGTTGGACATTATAACAGCTCAGTTCTTGAAGATGAGGACGAGCGTGGTGTCGCTCACATAGTTGAACACCTTGCTTTCAGTGCGACCAAGAAATATAATAATCATGATATCGTTAAGTTTCTAGAAAGCATTGGGGCTGAATTTGGTGCTTGCCAGAATGCTTTGACATCTTCAGATGAAACCATATATGAATTGCTTGTTCCAGTGGATAAACCAGACCTTCTATCACAGGCAATATCAGTTTTGGCAGAATTCAGTTCTGAGGTTGGACCATATACTTCTTTAGTTTTAAGCATAGTTTTCTCAATTGTCTTTCATTATTAAGAATATTTAAATTTTCTTAGGTTCGGGTTTCTTCAGAGGACCTAGAAAAAGAGCGTGGTGCTGTTCTGGAGGAATACAGAGGAGGGCGTAATGCTGCAGGCAGGATGCAGGACGCACATTGGGTGTTAATGTTTCAAGGTTCAAAGGTACACCTGGTTTTTTCTTAATTTGTTGGTTCTCAAAATATGGACCGATCAAATAAACTTTGTTTACATCCAGCTATAAATTATATTAGGTTCTCATTTGTTGTTTTTTTTTCCTTATTCTGTTCATGTTTTCTTTTCTTTTTTTTTTCTTTTCCTTTTTTGTTTTCTCATGATAAGCTGAAAGTAATGTTATTTAACAAGTTCCATCTTTGATTAGCTGGGAAAGGTAGAAAATGTAATGCTTTTACTCAAGGTTTGACTTGCCGGTCCAAGTCAGTGTGCCGGCCAATTGGCGACACGGCATTTGTTGCTTTGTACCGGTGGTACCGACACATGGTACGTTGATGCATACTGATGTTTCGACGAGGAAGAAAAAGAGGTTGAAGAGGAAGGTCTGGTGGAGGAACAGAGGAGGAAGAAGGAAGAAGAAGAAGAAAGAAAAGGAGGAGAAAAAGTGCAGCGATACTTGGGAAGCAGTGGCAGCGTTGAAGGGAAGTGGTAGTATCACAGCGGTGAAGAGGTGGTGTCGTTGCAGCATTGCAATGGCGAAGCGGCGAAGAGACAGCATCGTTGCAGCATCGCAGCAGCGAAGAGGCAGTGTCGCTGCAGCATCACAGTGGCTAAGCAATGAAGAGGCAGCGCCATTGCAGCATCGCAGTGGTAAATCAGTGAAGAGGTAGTGTCGCTGCAGCGTCGAAGAGGCAGTGCTGCGGCTTTGTACGCGAGAAGAGCCCTGATATGTTCTTTTTAACGCTGAAATGGACTGGGGTCCACCACTTTTTGATTTTTTATTATTTTAGTGAAGACTGCCTGAATTGGGGTGGTCCGTGTATCGGTCCACGCTCGGAGTACAGCAATCCCTGCTTTTACTTGTGAACAATTAGACGTAGCCTTGATAGAGGTTCACATGAGGGGATCCATCTATAATGGTATGGCAACACGAGGTGAGACAATTATTGATAGTGGTGTGTAGAGAGGCCTAATAAGACTTTACGAGAAATTATATATAAAAATTTAATTATTTTTATTTAACTAGGGTTATTGTTTTATACATAACTCAATGTTGGAAAAAAGACATGTAGTCAATCCTAAATAATTAGGACATTAGATCTTGTCATTGTTGTATCAAGCCTCAATTTTACTGAATGCTGTCAGTTTTCTTGATGAGTTGTGTACATATACGTGAATGCAAAAGTCCACCAAAGAAGTTCAAAAATTTATGACAATCGCTAGTTTTTTCTTTTCTTTCTTAAGTTTGGCCAATTAGCATAAATAACGAGGTACAAAGGAGGGATTATTATGTCTTGACTGATTTCCAGGATATCAATGGTTGTCCAAGTTTGGTCCATGTTCACAGGACTAGTGCTTATATCAGCAACATATGTCCATGCACAAACTGCTGCTATTAGCCCAGATATTAGAATATAAAATAAGTTATATCTAGATTTATGATCTTTCGGAAAATTAAATTTAGTTGGAAAGTTATGATCTTTTGGAAAATTAAATTTAAATGTAAGGTAATTGTGGGTATGCTATTCTTGCAGTATGCAGAACGTCTCCCGATTGGCTTGGAAAAAGTGATTCGAACAGTTACTCCTGAAACTGTTAAGCAATTTTATCAGAAATGGTACCATTTAGGCAATATGGCTGTTGTTGCTGTGGGGGATTTCGCTGATTCACAGGTTCGATCTCTTAGATTCACAGATTTTCACAACATTTTCAATTGTTGCTATTGTTCTCATTATGTTTTCCTTATCACAATTTTAATTTTTTGTTAATTCTGTAGAGTGTTGTTGAGTTGATAAAGAGTCACTTTGGGCAAAAAAATTCCAACTGCATTCCTCCACCAGTCATACCAGATTTTCCTGTGCCATCACATAAAGAACCTCGGTACTCCTGCTTTGTTGAGTCTGAAGCTGCTGGAGTAAGCACCTTTTGATAACTCTTCTATCTTTTAGGTGATGTGCATGCGTGTCAGCATGCACATATGCCCTTCAACAATAACAACAATATCGTTATCCACATCAGCAGAAAATTTATATGTATACATTTTACTTATTTCTTGTCTCTTTATTTGGATAAAAACAGTCTGCGGTAATGGTCAGCTGCAAGATACCAGTGGATGAGATGAGAACTGTGAAGGATTACAGGGATTCACTTGCAGAGGCGATGTTCCATTGCGCGTTAAACCAGAGGTTTTTTAAAATATCCCGCAGGACGGATCCACCATACTTCTCTTGCTCCTCAGCTGCAGATGCTCTTGTCCGTCCTGTGAAGGCTTACATCATGACCTCCAGCTGCAGAGAAAGGGGGACAATTGAGGCTCTTGAGGCAATGCTAACTGAGGTAGATTTGACACCATGAGATTATATTTTCACATGTTGGCTTGTGCGATTCTTTTGCTAAATTTGACATCTTATATATTAAGGTGTTTATTTATTTTTCAGCACCTTTCTGACAACTTCTTTACCAGGTTGCTAGGGTTCGTCTTCATGGTTTTTCTGAGCGTGAAATATCCATTGTACGTGCTTTGATGATGTCTGAAATTGAATCTGCATATTTAGAGAGGGAACAAATGCAATCAACAAGTCTGCGAGATGAGTATTTGCAAGTAATTCCATATCACTATCTTGACATACTTTTCTATGCCATCCACTTCCTTTCAATGGGGTTAAATTATACATCTATACTTTTCTGACATTAAAGAAATTTGAGATTTATGGAATATATCCTGTGAAGATGATGTAACAGTGATCCTTGTAGATCTTACCAACAGTGATTTACCTTTAGATATCTAAGCAGGTGCTTTCAAACAGCATCCTGGCTGATGAATGAGAGTCAGCAGTTAGATAGGACTAAAAGGCTGTTTCACAGAAAGATGAGACAAATATATTACATTACAACCACAAATAAAAAAGAGAAAGAAGGTACTGCTGTTTTATTTTCCAGCAGAATAAAGGCTGAGGAGAGAGAGAATAATAGAAAAAAAAGAGAAATGAGAGGAGGTCGATGGCCAAAAGGAAATGATGTTACTAATTCAATATGAAATACGACGAACCAGGCTGAATACCTACCTCTTTTATTGTTGACCCCAAGTATTGGAGAGTTGAAACATTAATTGTTTGTATGTTTACTAGGTCTCTTAAAACAGGAAATGAATAATTAGGTGAAAGACAACCTAAACTAGACCTAATTAATCTGGATTAGTTCTGGAGTAGAATCAGTCCAAAATGGACTAAACTGGATTGGTTTATTACAAACTAAGTTTTTATGACAATACTGCAAAATACCAAAAATATAAAAAAAACTGAGGCTTAAACTATGACGTGATCTAAATCTTAATCACATCAAATTAGGTTCAATAACAATAAATCTATTTTTTATCCTTCTAATGAGCCTTCAAAGATAATAGACTTAGGGTTGCATTGATCTTTCTCTCTCTCTCTCTCTCTCTCTCCCTCCCTCCCTCCCTCCCTCCCTCTGTGCTACCCCTCTACATATCAACTTTCTTATCAACTTTGCCTCATGTGACAGTTTAACTCATCACATTGGTTTAGGCATTCAATTACTACAACGGACATGCATATGTTTTTTGATGCAAAGGAACAAGGTTGCGGGCTTCTTTCATTAACGACGTGAAATAAGTTCTAACATCTTAGACGTTTGCATATCCAATTCAATGATATATTTTTTGCATCTTTTCTAATGGCATCTTATACAAGGCTTTTCATTATGAATAAACTTGCTTATCGTTTACAATTTTACACATTGTCTTGTATTGCATGTTCTCATCATAAGTTGCATGTATGGTGAATTGGGGGAAGGCCTGTGCATAGTGGAGAGTTTGCTGCATTGCAACCAACAAGGTTCTGGGTTAAGGGCAGTAACAGTGTTTACATCTGATTCCCTAGACCCCACGAGGGCATGAGTGTCGTGTTATGTTTTTATTCATGTATTTTTTTGCAGTTTTCTGAGTGCATTATTTGGATACTAAATGTTTAGGTAGGTGGACCATAAACTAAAGCCATGTCCAGCTAAACTTGTACATTATTTTTTTGAACTATAGCTAGTTATTTGTTTATTTCATTTCTTCATTTGTTCAACTTTACCCATTAGTGAAACGTTTAAGATTTCCTCCACAAGCAAGTATTTTATTCCCATTAAGAACACCATAATGCCCCCACTCGGACCTGATTATTCCATTGTTAAAAGTTCAGCTGCAATCTGTCATGAAATGAAGCTGATATTCTTGGTATGTAGGTCTCACAGATGTTGAATGCATATCGGTATAATTGCTTTTCCTTGTTGCTGGTTTAAAAGTTGTTTTTCTTTCACTACCAGTTATTGTTTACTGAACTTTTTGCTATATTGAAAAGCATCTAACTGTTACTACTCCTGTGAAAATTGCAGCATTTTTTTCGCAAGGAGCCAGTTGTTGGTGTTGAATATGAAGCACAACTACAGAAAACTCTTCTGCCACGTGAGTTAATACAACATATTTAAATATGTTTCTATATCTTGACTTGTTATACTTGCAGATGTTCTTGACAAGCACAACACAGTTTTGTGTTTCTTTTTGACATCTTGGACTTGCTTATATTATTTACATTAGTGTACTGACATCTAAATCATCTTTGCCAATTGAAACTAGATGTTGAGGGGTTGTGTGAATTAGTATATATTGTTATTCCTGATTGCTATCCCACAATTGTGCAGACGAATGTGGGATGTGTTAAAAATAAATATTTTGATTGGTAACTTATATTTTATATCATGACATGGCTTCATGGTTTTGAATGTTTCATGATATGATATGACAGAGAGACAATAAAGAACATAGAAAGCCAGAAATCATTTAGAACATATGCACACACTTGAATTGTAGGCAGCAATTTCAATAGGCGCTCGGGCTCTCGCCTAGGCGCTCGAGCGAGGCGAGGCGAGGCTCGAGCGCCTCGCTTCATGTCCAGGTGCCTCGCTTCAAAAAGGCGCCACCTAGGCGCTCGCCTGAGCCCAGGCGTCGGGCGCTTTGGGCGAGTGCCCGGGTTAAACCAGGCGACCGAACTAGTGTTTTACGTTTGGATCGATATCAGCCTCCCAACATCCCTCTCGCGACTTCCCCAACCCTAACCTTGCTCATTGCTGTCGCTGCCACTATCGCCGCTCGCTGCTCTTGCTGCTCCCGCTCGCCGCTCCCGCTGCTACCGTTGCCGCTACTCGCTACTACTACTGCTACTACTACCGTTGCCACTATCGTCGCTCGCCGCTCCCGCTCCAGCTGTCACTGTCGCTGCTCGCCGCTATCTTTGTCGCTGCTATTATCACCGTTCGTCGCTATCTTTGTCGCTGCCACTATCACCGCTCATCGCTCCCGTTCCCGCTGCTCCTGCTCCCGCTGCCACTGTCATTGCGCGTCGCTCCCGCTCCCGCTGCTACCGCTGTCGCTGCCATTGTTACAGCTCACCTCTCTCGCTCCCGCTCCCGCTCCCACTGCTTGTTGCTACCTCTTCTCACATCGACTCGATAGTATACTATTAACAGTATACTGTTAACTGTATACTAGTAACAATATTTTTTTATTTATTAGTTAATAATATATTAATTTTATTTTAATACTGATAATTTTTATTTATTTGAAATTATTGTTATTGTTTTGAATTTTGAGTTTTTTTTTGTTAATGTGATATTGTGATTTTGTAAGATTTTTTTAATTTAATATCATATTTTTATTTAAATAATTATATTTATTAATTATATTATATATTTTTATATTTTAGCGTCTCACTTCGCTCGGGCGAGCGCCTAGCGCCTCGGGCGTTTTTGGACCTTGGCACCTAGCGCTTTTTAAATCACTGATTGTAGGTTCCGGAGATGTCTTGTTGAGTAAATCCTCTATTAGCTTGCATCAGAGTTTACTGCATTTAGTTTAGTATCATTGGATATTATATATTTTTGTACAACTGCTCTCTTTTTGGTGTTAGATGGCATTTGATGCTTTATGTCTTATGAACCTGAGTGAAGATAAACATATATAAAAAGTTTGTTACTAAAATAAAAATATTGAGATGGATGTGGAGTTGTTAGGAAAAATAAGAAAGGATATATAAAATGAGGAAGAAATATTTAAGATAGTATGGGCATGTTCCGAAACCTATTGATGTAACAGTTAGAAGATGAGAAATAATTATTATTAGTGGTACAAGGAGAGTTAGAGAGATCTAAAAGGGACTTTATTAGAAACTGTAAATAAAGATTTAAATACTCTTAATTTAATTCAATATATGACTTTTTATAAGCTTCAATGGCAACAAAAGATTCAATAGATTCAATGGCGAGAAAGGATCTACGTAGCCATCCCAAATAGGTGGAACATTACTTGGTGTTGTATGTTGTGGTAAGGGTTCAGAATTTGTATTTTCCAATAATTGGCACCAATTATTGGTGCATGTAAGTTGGAATGAGTGAAGCTTCTCATGAGTTGCATGTAAGTTGGTTTTAACAACTTTAAGAGAATCAAAACTTTTTGTAGATATTTGTCATGAATCTTAATAAATCAAACATGCTTCTGTGCAACTTCTAATGTTGCTTTTTTTTTTTCCTTGTAAAAAAATCTGCATTAAATTGATTAAAGTTCATACAACCCAAAGGAGGTATCACACTTCTCAAAAAGGAAGCAAAATGAGGTGACTAAATTGTGTGCGGAGGTATTGAGGTCTCTGTTGATGTGTGTCCATTGTGAAACCTCAACTGTCTTAGCATAGTAGAAATGTCATTCAGAAGGATTTTAAGTGCCATAGGATGCTGGGGTTAGAGAGCATGTTGATGAGGCTTTTGGAATCATTGAAAATTTTGATTCTTGTCAGATTCAGTTGCTGTGCAGCCTTGAGCCCCTCAAGGACAGCGAGCCCTTTGCTTGTAGGGGAGAAGAAGGAGGGTGTCTGCTGCATCTTGCCAGATTCTGATTGTTCCTTTTATCAGTTAAAATGAAACCAGAACCTGCAAAAATGGAAGATGGATTGAATGAGCCATCACATAATAGATTAGAAAGACGATCTTGGGGGTGATTAGTGGCTGAGTTACCTTGGGTAAGGTTCCCTCTGGACCCCTCAGAACGGGTGATGGAGACAAGGCCATCATCGGTGAGAACGGCAGCTTTACACCATATGGAGCCAATTTGGCAGTGACTAATGTTCCAATTGACAGCACAAATTAAGGAACAACTTTTTGTTGGTTTGGTTATAGGTCAACTTGGGACCTGATCTGGGTTGAACACCTCTAAGCTTAACCTATCCTGATCATTTCACCAACTGCACAACTTTAACTTGAGCACATCCTTTATGACGTTTGGTTGGATCAGTCAGGTGCTATCGGTTACTTGCAAAGCCAGGAAGCCCTTTCCTTTAGAGACAGATGGAGAGAGATACAGAGATAGCATTGAGAAGGAGTGAGTTGATAACAGATAAGGTTGAAAAGGAGACATGGCAACAACCTCGTATCGTAATTTCTTGTGGCACCACTTTCCACAGGAGACATCATTACATTTTCTAAGGAGCAAGACATAGCCTCCTGGGTGCTTGTGCATAGAGCTACTTAGGTTTTTCCTGTCACCTTCTTATTGTATTTACCATACATTATATTGGTTTGTGTTTGCAGTGGGAGTTCAGGACTTGAGCCCTAGCCTAATACATGACAACTGAGAATTACTGAAATCGAACCCAACTGGATGTTGATACAGAAACCTGTCCTAGATTATCCAAAGTTCAATGTAGCCATAAAGGTCTTGGGTTGTCCTGCCTTAGTTGCAGGTTGCAACACTACTTAAATAGCTGATTGATATATCCTGTTCACTAACATACAATGAGAAAAGCCTGTTCATTATTTTTGTTTTGTGATGTTCTTTTTGTGGAACAAGGACGTGCATGTGTCCATGATTTTTGTGAACTCGAAGGAGCATTAAATAGTAAGTGATGATCCATAAAGTGTGTTTGACAGTTACAACTTTGTTTTATGCATCTTTCTTTATCCGAGATTTATGTAATTAATAATGCTAACAGAGGTGAATTTTTGGAGAATTGTCATACTTCTTGTCTAACCACAGAGAGGTTGCATTTCATAGTAGTATGCTGAGCAAATAATTTGAGGATACAATCAAATATAAAGAAATTCGTTATGCCTTGTAACTGCCAAATCTCAGCTATGCTGATTTGTTGGAAATGTATTACTTTGATCCTAGGGAATCACTTTTATTGTGGTATCTAATACATCATGCATTCATTTATATTTTAGTTGCATCTTCTACTTACTGCTTTATGCATGCAAAAGAAACCATCTCTCTCTTTCTCTTTAAACTTAGTTTCCTGGTTCTTTTGTAAATCCTGATCTTGATATCCAAACTTTGCATAAATATATTTCAGACATCTCTCCAGCTGAGGTATCAAAGTTTGCTGCAAACTTTTGTACAACATGCAGCTGTGTCATAAAAATAGTTGAACCTCGAGCTGGTGCTACATTGGATGATCTGAGAGCTGCTGTATTTAAAATTAGCACTCTGGAGGAGGAAAGAAGAATTTCCCCATGGGATGATGAACATGTTCCTGAAGAAATTGTTACTGACAAGCCCATTCCAGGGTAGGCATTTGCTGCATGTCATACAACTTACAATTGTAACCTAGTTTCCTCAGCATTCCTGCTTTCTTTCTTAAGTTGCCATTTAATAATGACTGTTCACTGTTTAGGAACATGCTAGGATTGTCAAGAGATGCTAGTGTTCCAGAATTGTCTGGAAGTTCTAGGGTTCTACTTGGACCAACTTTCTAGTGCTTGATGTTCAGGAGTCCTAAATAATGACAATCTTGTGTTTTAATTAGACTTGTCGAAGGTTCTGAATCTAGACGTGACCTGGATTAAGACATAGATTTGTTGTTGTGGCCTCTGTTTTTGGATATTTCTGCTCTGTATTGCTTCTGTTTGTCAGTAAAGTTTGTGCCAAATTCGGTAGATTTATTTAGCATACTTTTAAAGTAAATCGCTCGGTAAATTCGAAGTTATTTATGAAAACAACTGTATTTGAAATGAAATCCTGCTGATATATCTCTGCATTTTGGACCTTTAAATTCAGTTCCATTTTGGCATGAATTCTCTGGTCTACTCCCCTCTTCTATTCCTGAATAATTATTACTGTAGGTAATCATTAAAGCAATCGTAGAATTTGATCCTTAGTACGTGTGGCTCGTTGTGCAGTATGTTAATGTTTGCCACAGATTTAATTGATTATCAATTGCATGACATGGATCTTGTAATGTCCTTGCAGTTACATGCTATTTGGATGTTTATGTTGCAAAGTCACATATTAAATATCAAGTTTCTCTCTACATGTCTTGTCTAGTCCTATCTTGATTGAGAAAGCAACCTTGACAGTCTGAATCATCTGTTTATCTATCATAATCTGGCCTTAGGCTAACCTCTACCAATATTGTTAGTTTCACTTTCATTGGAATGTTACAGATATGTTTTTCCTTTTCCTTTTCCACCAGGAGCATCATAAATCAGATAGATTTCTCACCTATTGGTGTCACTGAGTTACTTCTATCTAATGGAATGAAGGTCTGCTATAAGTGTACTGATTTTCTTGATGATCAGGTAATGATAGAGTGATGTACTCAACAATTTTCTTTCTAATTCATGTGTTTTCTAGTTTAATAAATGCCTTTCTTGGGCATAGATCTGGCCATTGTGTTCTCCAATGTGGTTTTTAAGCAAAAGCAGTAGTAAGCAATGTACTCTTAGGGATATGTTTGCAGATGAAAATTATCATTTTATTTTATTTTATTTAAAACCTTTTTCTGTTGGCTGCATGTCACATGTTATTTAGATCATGCTTATTGTAGTTTATGTTACTTAGATTATGCTCTTGGCACGAGTGCAATATAAATTGTGGGCATGGTATAATCTTCTTTTGCAAGGTAACCCAACACAAGATGGTAATAGGCCTTTTGTGTTTCGTCAGTTCTTATAATTAAAATATTTTAGTGGCACTTCGGCTTTCCACTAGAAAGCTCATGAGTTTTACCAGTAATTTCTTCAGTTTTTGTAATTAAAACATTTTTATGTATTTAGGTTTACACTTTTGTGTTTTGTCTGTTATACACAATTTTCCTTCCAAGTACTAAAGCATGTCATTATCAGCAGAGGACTCTTGCATAATACAAGTACCCAAAAAAGAAGGGTTTTCATGAGTCTGGTTTGCAGTTGTATATCATTACATTCTGACTCATGGTCTGCCTGATATAAACAACTCAAGAGATATATGAATACCTTCTCAATACTTTAAGGTCCATGTATTGGCCATGCATTTAGTGTAGGATTTACATTGTTTATCTCTGATGCATAACTTCAAAATAATGTTCCATAAGGTTATTATCTTTCTTCCTGCCCTTGCTTAACTCTCCCTTCTCATATACTTTTAAGCAGGTAATTTTTACTGGTTTTGCATATGGTGGTTTGTCTGAATTGCCAGAAGCTGAGTATATATCTTGTTCAATGGGATCAACCATTTCTGGAGAAATTGGAATTTTTGGATATAAACCTTCTATGCTAATGGATATGCTTGCTGGTAAGAGAGCTGAAGTCAGTACAAAAGTTGGAGCTTATATGAGAACCTTTTCTGGCGATTGCTCACCTACTGATCTGGAAACTGCCTTGCAGGTTTTTCTCACTTGGGTATTTGTATTTTTTTTTTAACCACATGCATGCACACCGATTATACACGTGCCCACACACTCAGTTTTGGTGGATATCGATTTGGTTACGTTGCATCACTGTCTTTATGCTCTAATGCTTAAGCAGGCATGTCAATTAGTGTTTTCTTGGAGTACCTGTATATTAAAAATTTTCATTACAAACCTTGTTGTTGATTGTTTTTCTCTGGTATAGAGGGGTGCTCTTTGGTATGATTGACATGATTCAACTTACAGCAATCCTTTTTTTTCTTCACTTACAGAAAGATCTAACATCAGTCTTCATGCATATTAGAATTTTTTTTTCTTCTTATAAGTAGTGATATTTGACATGGCGACACTATTGTGTCTAAGAACCAAGATCATCTAATTATCATGGACTAAACACAGTGATATATAGGGCATTGTTTATGTTAATGCCATGGTTGGATCATGCAGTACCAATAAATGTCACATTTCAAAGCACAGTTACATTCTTAGTGTCAGTTTTATTATCATGATTATAAATCTCACATGCTTATCCTATTTGCTACATGTGCAGCTTGTTTATCAGCTGTTCACTAGAAATGTTGCACCAGGGCATGAAGAAGTCAAAATAGTGATGCAAATGGCAGAAGAAGCAATTCGAGCACAAGAAAGGGATCCCTACACTGCATTTACCAATCGTGTGAGAGAAATCAACTACGGGAACTCATACTTTTTCCGGGTATGCACGAGTGCTGTGTTTTTTCTACTATTTTCTTCTCCATTTTAAAATTTTTTTACCATGGCCAGCAATTTCTTGTTCATGCAGCCAATCCGAATTAGTGAACTGAAAAAAGTGAATCCCATAAGAGCATGTGAATATTTCAACAACTGCTTTAAGGATCCATCTAGCTTTACTGTTGTCATTGTTGGAAATATTGATCCAGCTTCATCGCTTCCTTTAGTGCTGCAGTATTTGGTGAGAATTGCTTTGCTTTGAGCCAATTTCAGCTTGGAGCATTATTCACTGTTTATGATCTGTTTCTGCTGATTTATACAGGGTGGAATACCAAGGCCTTCTGAGCCAGTTTTACAACTCAACCGTGATGACCTAAAAGGCCTGCCATTCAAATTTCCTGCCAGCATTGTCAGGTTGATACTCCAGTAGCTTCTGGTTCTGCATTTGATCTTTCCTCTTCCATGAGATGTCTGTGTTCAAGATTTTTCACATGTACCATTCCATTCTTTTGCATGTCAGCAGAGAGTCTATTAGGTACTAGGATTTCTCTAACAGAATGTTCTTTTTTTTTTTTACTTAAGAGAGATAGTCCGCAGTCCTATGGTGGAAGCTCAGTGCTCTGTCCAGCTGGCCTTTCCAGTGGTTTTAAAAAGTACATCAATGGTAAGAAATGTGCAAGTCCTGTGATTATATATTTGTGTCAACACTTAGATCAACTAGACACTCTTATTGTTTTTCTTTTTAAACTGGAAGATGGAAGAGATTCACTATGTTGGATTCCTGAGTAAACTTCTGGAGACAAGGATTATGCAAGTTCTTCGGTTCAAACATGGGCAGGTTTTTAATCTTAAATTAACACTCTTCTATTTGATCTTTAAGTGATCTTGTATTCGTGGTGAAGAAGTTTGATCTTATTTACTCTTTGGATGCTTCAGATATACTCTGTGAGTGTTTCCGTTTTTTTGGGTGGTAATAAACCTTCAAGAACTGGAGATGTCCGAGGTGATATTAGTGTATATTTTTCGTGTGATCCAGACATCTCATCCAGGCTTGTAGGTTTTTTTATTTCTCTCTTGATACCATATTATTTTGTATGTGTATGTTCTTGCAGGAGCTTCCATGTGAACTGTTTAACCTCTAGGACGCTTTGTTCAGGTTGACCTTGCATTAGAGGAGATTTTATATCTACAAGATCATGGCCCATCGGACCAAGATGTATCAACTGTCTTAGAAATTGAACAGAGAGCCCACGAAAATGGATTGCAGGTTGGTTTATAACTTTATTCTAGATCAATATCTAGTTATCATTACAGCATTAACACTTTGGAGCCCTTCCAGGAAAACTATTACTGGCTAGATCGAATTCTGCGCAGCTACCAATCAAGAGCTTATTTTGGAGATGTCAGTGACTCATTTAAGGTAGACAATGTTGTTTTAAGTGCTGCACCAGCATTTGATGCATTAGTTGTCAGTTGTTTCTGGCTTGAGTAGATATAAGCAAGGTCTGCAATACCCAATGATACCGCTCGTACCGGGTGGCACGTACCGGTCCATCAGTAGATCGGTACATGGACCACACACTATCGAGCGGTACCATCGACTGAGGCGTTATCGTCGCCGATTGAGGCGTTGTCATCAACGGTGACCAAGGGAGAAGAAAGAAGAGGGAGAAGGCGAAGAAATAAATAGAAAAAAAGGGAGAACTTGGAGATCGTTGCTCTCCTCCTCGTCTGTCGGTGACTTCTCATCCATGCGTGGGAGAAGAGGTATCGGTGTCGCGGGGCGGAGAAAGGCGAAGATTTTTTTTTCTTCTCTTCTTGGGCGACGTCGCCTACATATATTTTTTTTATCTGTGACGTCGCCGAGGCGATGTCGCCCGAGAAGAGAGGCGACGTACCGTACCGTACCATACCGTACCGAATAAGTCTTGAAATTTTGGTACGGCACAAAATTTCAATCCTTGGATATAAGTTTTGATATCTAAAATTGTTGGATTTTTCTTTTGAGGATAGCTACAATCTGAATTTCAAAATTGTGTTTCATTCTGAAACATCTGAATTTTTACAGAGATATTTATGGGTTAAAATTTCTCAGGATTTTAGTAATTATTTGCTTCTCTTCATTTGCTTTTTTGATGCATTTTTTTTTCCCACATACCTTTATTATGTTCTTCAGCTATAGCAGATCAGAAGCTGCAAGAAACACTTTGTTTGTTATTGCATCCCATGGTTCCATGAATGTACATCTGACTTCCTTTTATTGACATTGCAGTACAACAACAAACCATCTAATTTTCATGAATGAAAATATTTCTTTTCTCTTTTCTAGTAATCCCACACATGTTAACGGTATCAAGAAAGAAACTTACAACTACATTTTCGTTTAACATTGTGTCCATTTTCTGATTATTGTTGTTGGCTGATATTCTTTATAAATCAATTCATAAAACATGTCAATTTTCTCTGCCAGCGCTTTTTCTCTTTGAAGATTTTGTAGTTTGACATGCTTCTAGTTTTTTTTTCCTTTTACATTGATCTTGCAATGAAATGTTTCCTTTATGTTTTCTTTACATCTTTGTTTATGCAGATTCAAGATGAAGGACGGACTAAAGTTAGGAAAGACTTAACTCCATTGACCATGCAATTGGCATTACAAAGAATCTTGCCTTTTCCATGTAAAAAGCAATATACAGTTGTTATTCTTATGCCACAGATATCTCATCTGAGCTTCTTGAAGTCATTAATTCTATTAAGCTCCGACGGGTTTACAAGAAATGTAAAGGTTGGACATGTTTGCTCTTCCTACTTTGCAGAACATTTTTCTTTCTGTTTGCTCTTCCTTTCATTATAATCGCCCTAAACAAACCCTTCAACATTCATGAGTTCAAGGTTGTATCTATTCTCATCTGGCATCATTGTTTAACTTTCTTGAGACATCTTAGTTAGAAATATGTGAAAAGGTAGGTAGAGAAATTTTACTCTGCTAGCTGCTACCGATAACTGTGTTGGCTAATTGTCACATTAGACATAAAAACAATCTCTCTATCCGATGCATGTTAAATTATGAATTAACATTCAAACTTGCAGCATATATGGGTTAAAATACTTTGAATGTCATGTCACTGTTGGTATAATTATTAGGCATATTGTCTTTTTCCCCACTACACATGCAGTTGTTTTGCCCTCCATTTTCTTAGAGTCTAATTTGATGTATTTAAATAGAGGGTAGCATTTTTTGATTGGTGATAGTTCCATTCATTTGGTGTTATTTATCAATGCAATCTGTGGAATATTTTGCAGATTTTGGTTGGTGCAGCAGGTGCAATGGTTTTAGCAGTAAGTTTGTGGAGATATTCACGTAGTGCATTGAACTCATAAAAGACTCTACTTGGAGATCTGCGGATGATCGCTGGCCATAATGATGAGAACCGAATCCTTGTTTGGAGTGTTTAGAAGACTGTTAGCATTCAAAGGACTTAGAAGTTGGTGATTTGTGGATCCAACCAAACTGGATCCTGAATCACTCGATACTGAGGCGGCACGGCCCTCAACTCACTCTTGCTCAAGGTTCTGTCTCTTCATTACTTCTTGTGGATGCAGTTACATCCTGTATAAGCATATCATAATTTGTTGTTTCAATTTTGATAAAGCATTGAGGACTAGGCAGACGACGATATCTGGCTCATTCAGATTCATACTATTTCGATAACCCATAGTGTTGAAGAAATACATAATCGTGTATACTCGTTTTTAGACCTTTTTCTGACTAGAGAATGGAATAAGAAAATTAGCTGCTTGACATGTATTTCCTGTGCCATGTTCTGCAGTGACTGTTGACCATGTGCCGCCTTTAAGATGCTTGTGATTAGAATTGGCATTGATCTGCAATTGTTGTAGAACAAGGTCTCAAGTACAAACCGATCATCACAGGTCCAGTCGTCGATACTAGATGATTTGTTTACAATTATTTTGCTATTTTTATTAAATTCAGTGATTTCGAGTGGAATATTGGAAATGATGCCATATTTTCACTCATTTTGACGATTTGTCATTAAGAGCCTTATGAAGGATTTATGCTGCAGCCCAACATGTTTGGATTTACAATGCAATGGAGTGGTCTTTTTCATTCATGTTGGTTGCCACTATAAGTGCTTACAACCCCCTATGATTAATATTGGTTTTTATATGGAAATTTTCTAGCATCCATAACTTAATATTTCTTTTTCATATTTCGTGTTCTTCGCTATTGCTCGGATTTGGCTCAATTAATTCTTCCAACGTTTGTGTCAAATTGAGATTGGCATATTATTAGTGATATGCAGGTAATAATTGAGAATATCTACGCGCCATTTACAATCGTCACCATCTCCGGCGGCGACTATATATACTAACGATTTGAATCCCCTGCGTTCTTTGATTGCGCCGATCGCTCCCCTCCCCGTGGCAGAATTCTCCTTCCTCACGAATGTCTACGGCGGCCATCCCGAGCGTATCTCACCGGTACCTCTTTCTCCTCCTCCTATCGAAACTCTCTTTCTTTAGGCGTTGGGGATGATCTGGGGATAGGGTTCGAGAAACGGTGCGAAGTTTCAATTTTGGTAGTGGATCGATGGCTCGATGGATCGATTTGTTTTGCATCCGTGCGTGATCGAAGCTAGGTTTTCCATGAGCACGAATGGTTCTTCTTGAGGAGCGTGAGCGCTCGATTGGGGAAGGACAAGCGGGCGTCTCGCAGCGCCGGATGGGGCCGATCGAAGGCAACCCAGGGCACCAGGGACACGCACCGTCGCGTCATAGGCTCGAGCCAAAGCTTCTGCTATGAAGTGCGCTCTTCTTCTGAATCTGACGAGAGCGATTGGCCGATGGAGGAATACCCGACTCCCAAGGCACGGGCCGAAGCATCATCCATGCAAGAGAAATGTGGTATTGGTTGAGGAGGAGAAGAGCCCAGTGGCACTACATCAAACACCCTCGCGGCCCGGATTTGGAGACAACAGGCTAGCAAAATTAGGGAGGAGGATGGGAAAGGTAGTAGGACTCCTACAAGCTCCAATTATCCCCAAGCTGAAGTAAATGGCGATTGCTACCGATTTCCTTTTGAGGAGAAGAAAGGAGACCTCACGGGCACTGCATAAATCATGCCAATCGCTCGTCGACGCCACCCATCGACAAGTTGACAGTAGTAGCATCTAAGGAGGAGGAGGAGGAGACCTCGGTGGCACTGCATCTCCTCCTTGGAAGATTCGGTAGCAGGAGCAACTCCTTGAGGAGGAAGAGGAAGAGGCCTTGATGTCACTGCATCTCCTCCTTGGATGCTACTGCTGTCAACTTGTTGATGGGTGGCATCGACTGAGGTTTCCTTTTCTCCTTAAAAGGAAATCATAAATCGAAAGGTTGGAAATTTAGATATATGCATCCTGTCGAGAATGGAATGGAAAATCATATAACATAAACCGTGTTCAGAATGCAAGATACACATCTTACACAACAATTCCAGGTTCATAGTTGTTTCATCCAACTATAGAAAGACCTAACTTGCAGGAACACGAGTGTCGGTAGACATTTTCTTTACATCGGACAGACAACAATCTCATACATTCTTGTTCCTGGATGAAAAGTTGATGTTCAATGCCACACTTTGTTCTACAAGGGGTGATAAGCTGAAAGGTCCCACAGCAGCAAGCTTATAAATCCAGCATGCGCCCTCGGATTATTGCCTCGGCTTTCCTTACCTGCTTCACAGGCCCAATGATGAAAACCTACATAGAAAACATACAGGTTCGGTGTATAGTTGCGAAACTAAGCCAACCATTCAAAGTTATGATGAATGTAGATGCTGACTCTTCCTATCCTTGTTTCACTGATTTCTGCGGAACCAAAAGATCCTTGCAGATTCAAAATGGCCTTTACCTTGTCGGGAGGGCCCTTTGCGCCACCAGTAATAATTTCCGCACTGCAAAAGAGGAAACAAAATAACACGTCAAGCAGAATATATCATCTACGGAGAAGCATCGGGGACATTTGTATTAGAATGTACAAAAGAAAAGCATACTGGCAAGATTCTTTCACGGACTGGATAGAGGCTCCCTTTCTCCCAATAACTCGCCCCATTTTCCCAGGAGGAACATTCAGGATGGACAGTATCTCCTCCTCAGGAACATAACCTTCTGCAACTATGTCATCTAGATAAGATGGAAGCACCCAAAATGACAACTCCCAAGTTAATACGTGTTTTGTTGTCCATAACTAAAAGACAGCCAGACCGGATCGACCAAGAAAACTTAAAACAGTATGAGATACCGATGGTAAAGACCTGGAAGAGGGGGTAGGGATGGCCATTCTGCATAGTCATTGTCGTTGATGCAAAAACACCTACAGTAAAGTGAGCTACGAAGTGCAAGGTGCCACAAGGATTTCTTATTCAGTCTCTCCATCATTGAATGATAAATACTTAGGAGAAAGCGAACATCATCAGCAGCTGCTCGGATCATCATTTCAGACATTGGTCTGTAAGTCCAAAACTCAGGATCCTGAAAGGGCGGTGGAATGAAATGTCAGAAACACTTACTCACTTCCCACAAGAAGAAACATGAGTCATACGAGCTCCTTTTCAAAATCAAAGGACCACAGAATCGAACAACCACAGAGCTTCAAACTCATAAAATAGTTGCATCTTAGACTAACCTGTCTTAGCAGGACACGCACTTCCTCCTTTTCAAGATAGGATATTCCTGCATGAGGATGTTAGGGAATATTAAACCATATGAAAGGCGCAAAGAGAAACTGAAATCTGGTGAGGACTGGTCAATAAGAATTTAAAGGGATTACAAATTTATCTGACTTCTACCAAATGTCTCCATGAAAATGCCAAAAGAAACTGGTAGAGAAGTTTATCATGGAAAATGAGAAGATACTATGAAAATTTTACCACAGTATCGAGGATCTGCGAGAAGCCCAACAAAAGAAATATGATCATTAAGCGATGGCTTCCTTCCTTCTTCCTCCTCTATCAAAGAATATGCAATCTACAAGGACGATAGCACCGATAATGTCATTGTCTCAAGAACTCTTCCATTCGCGTAATCATGTTCACATTTTCCTTTGCCAGCATCAAAAAGCAACTTCTGAATCAGCTTATCGTCTGTGCCGTTAAGGGAAAGTTCTTTTTTTTCATAATGGCACTTGAAACTACAAGAAACTATACAGCCAAGCTAGAGTGGTGCATCGTAAATAAAGTTATATGGTGATGCACTTTCTCTTTGACAAGACAAAGAGGAAAACAATACCATTTACCTGGGTATCAAATACATTGTTCAGTTTTATGCCATATTGAAAATGTAAAGCCTGCAAGCAGGTGGTAAATATTAGACGAACTTAATATGTAGTGAATAATATAAATGACCAAGAAGAACAATGAAAGCAACTAAATTGTGTGGAGACCTCACTATCCCGTTTGCAGTCATGAATTACTTTCATAATGTTCATGGATTCAAGTGCAGGCTTACAGGCTTGGATAAGTAACTCCCCACCCTCTATAGCATCAACAAGGTATACGGCATTGGGAAGTGCAAGCTGAGAAAAACACAGCAAGATGGTAAGTAAATATAAACAACTAGAAAGATGATCGACGTGAGAAGACATTAACTGCATTATATTCAGGGTCAACTTCATGGAAAGAATTATAATAAAGGCATCATAATAAATATCAAGCATCCACAACATCCTTTTCACTTTCAACTATAAGATGTAAAGATGACTAATCGTGAAAAGATTATTGCTACAAATGTCTATCATCCAATAAAGCTCGGCCTTCCAAACTCATCTTACAATTCGTTTTTAAAAGCAGCGAGATGGTAAGAAAATATAAACAACTCAAGGGATGATCAATGCGAGAAGACTTTTAACTGCACTATTCAGGGTCAATTGCATGGAAAGAATTGTAACAAAGGCATCATCATAAATATCAAGCACCCACAACATCCATTTCACTTTTTGCGTAATCAGAGCTAAAGATGACTACTCATGAAAAATATTACTATAAATGTCTATTATCCAATAAAGTTGAACCTTCCAAATTCATCATATGGTTCCCTTTCAAAGCATGTATTAATGGGTAAGAGCTCAATGCGTTAGAAATTATTTGCATGTTTGGGAAAGTGGAGATTCTTGTGAGGAACATACATGGCACAATCTAATCAATTCTAGAAAGATAACTAATTAACTAAAACATGAAATAAGAGCTTGAATAAGCATAACTGAAAATATGAGAAAGAATTCATTCAAATGAGGTTCTTCATGGTCAAGAAATAACCAAAAAAAGGTAACTAACTCACCTGCATTACACATAAAGCTCCATGTCGACAGAGGTCGATTCCCTCACAATCAAATCCAATGACCACCTGCCTATCCACCGGAGGATCAATAAATTCAGGTGGCAATTGGGAAGCATGGGTGACAATATGGATAGGGACCACTGGAAACTCAGATTTACTGTCTGAAGGACATAATAAGAATACTAGCGATTATTTGTAGGAAACTCTGGATGGTCAAAGTTATAGAAACCATTAATATAATGAGAAATAGCATAAAATAAGGAACGACAGATGATATGGAATATATATACACATATTGCATTTAATGGAACAGAAACTGGATAAAATAATGAACACCTGGTACAGGTTAAAGTGACAAAATATTCTACCAGTAAAAGAAGTTTTGATCCTTCTTGAGTTATGAAAGATCATATTTAGTTAAAAATTGTTAGTTATTTATTAATATAAATTTGTTTTCAAATTGTTCATAACAAATTCAAGAAATTGTAAATAAAAGGTTAATGAAGCTACATGTTTACAATATATGTTTATGCATGGAACTTATAATGCCCTCTATATCCATTATCATGTTTACAACATATGTTTATCCAAGTTCTCATAGCAAAATCTGCCAGATCCAGAGTTCCCAATCTTACATTTTGACAACATGTGAACCAAGAATTCAGCAAAACTAAATGTACTAAGATCGCTGTAATGATTAGATGGCTAACCTCTTTCTTTTACATTAATACAACATAAACATGACTTTCTTGTCATAGAAAAGCCATATTCGAGGGCTAACGCTTTTCCTTGCAAAGTTTCTTACAATAACAGTTAAATCTTAAAATATTGTTTCTAGCAAAGGTCTTGATAATATAGTGCCACGTATTCTTATGGTTCCAGCATTCACAAAAGATAATTTAGTTATCTCACACGGGAAGCCCACAAGTATGCATGGCATATGAAATATGTAAGTGGTGAAGCAAGCAAGCACACAAGGAAAATCTAAAAGTTGAGACAAACAGAGGATTGAAACAAGTTAATAACAGTTGTTAAATAAGTTTCTTTTATCTTGTTCCTTTTGAGTCAACCATTTTAGCTCATTGCTGTATTACAGCAAAAATCACATTGATGTCAACTTCCAATGCAGGTACTTTCTTTAGTAGGACCTGATGCATCAAATGTCAGTTTATTGTTCAGCTGCAATGAAGCTTCTTTGTTCTCAATCAATAAAATGAAAGGTAGTGCAGATGTGTTCAGGTTTCTACTTTGGTCCTGTTGAAAATGTCAAATTTCACCTTCAAACTATTCTCTCTCTACTCATATCCACAATAAAACCAACTACCATAGATGAGTCTTTACCACAATGATGCTGATCATTAAAGGCAAACCTAGCATCACTGCAGATGTCATTTCAATTTCTTTAATGTGGAATGAAATTTCCATCAACAGTTCCAGTAAAAAAACCCTATCAACAATCACAAATTTCCCGGTCTACCTATGTCAAATCTACAACAGGATATGCATACATACGTCAAAAAGTAAACTTTCGCAAAAATTACTCGTATATAATGATCAAAATCTCCAAGTTATGAAACCCCAGGGCATATAGCGTAAGAAAGGAGGCATCGAACAACTGAACAGGCCATGGATTCAGAATTAGGATCCTGAAAGATGAAAACTAAGCGAAAACCCAAAGACATAAGTAGAAAATACGAGACAACGACGATCAGAACAACTCAAATAGAGAACAAGAGAAATCAATAGCACAAAAGAGCAGCGCAAAATGCGATAAGCAAGTCGCAGGAACGATCAGAGGAACGAGGGGAGTGAGCCTGAAGAACCTGGATCGATCGGGAGAGGAACTTTAGCCAGGTTAAGGAGAGGATCGGAAGCCATCGCGATCACCGCGAGGGTTTCGAGAAAGATAGGAGGAGAAGCGTTGTCGATCTTAAAAGGGAAACGGATTCACGCCGCGGCTTGCAGTCGGGAGCGGACGCCTTCGTGGGATGCGTCGGTCCGCTTAGAAGAGGTGGGTACCACATCATATAGTTATTGGATATGCGCCACCTCGGCACCCTGCGCCTCGCGCACCGGATCTCCGTATACCAACGGATTCGGCTCATCTCGCACACAGCTCCGAAATATGATGTCGATGCTCCATTAATGGATCATTTGAATCCGAATCCGATCAGATTATTTCCAGCACAGTTCGGAGCAATTGGATGGCGCCACGTCTGCACTCTGGGCCTTGCAAACCGGGATCTCCATAAACCAACGGATTCGGGTCGAGTCTCGTATGCAGCTCCGAAATTGATTATCTCAATCCGATTCCGGCAAGCTTATCTTGGGGTCATTTGGCGTCAATTAAACGCACATTATGATGTGTCAACTACGTTAGAAGATTAAGTGTCAATTTGACTTATGGTTTAAGACATTAACGTAGTCATTGACCAAAATTATTAGGATTTGTTGACTTATCGGTGTGGCTCGATCAAATCACCCTTCGATTTGGATCTCTTAGGTCTCTCTCTCTCTCTCTAAAAGGAGCGATCAAGCGGAAGCCTCCAAGAATTGCCAAGAAAAAAGAGGGAAAAGCTCAAAAGGAAGAAGGGAGGGAGGGAGAGAGAGAGAGAGGGAGA